ATCTCCTCCGGGGCAGGCGGGGATCGAACTCATGTGGAAGTGGCTTAAGCTTCTTAGTGCTGTGCTTTAACCCACTGCGCCACCAGGGAGGGCCTAAATTTAGGGACAACTTATTGTTAGAAGATGTTGGGTTCCTTCCTAACCTTTCTGAATATGCTGTGAGCTTGTTAGGAGATGTGCCATGTGCCTCCTTCACCACTTACTGCAGTTGCTTTGTGCTACAAGCCCTAACTCCCTAACCAGGAGCTAGGATAGGGCTGAGCAGCCAGGTGAAGCTATGGAACACGGAAAGCAGGTGGGCTAAGGAAGAGCGCTCTTGCTCCTGGCGCCCGACTTGCGCTCTCGTACTTTTGGGAAGGAAACATGGAAGGAGACACTGGAGGAGAGACATGTAGAGACACTTGGAAGAGATGCTGGTAAGAGAGCTAACGATGGCAGCCATTATTTTGATGTGGCATCTCCTTTTGTTTCTGTTTTCTGGGACCTGCTTTAGAACCCCTTTTGTATGCTTCCCTGCCAGAAGGTTCCTTAGACTTGAGGCCAGCTTTCAAGCCTCAGGGGTCCCCCTTCAGATCTGCCCTGTTTGGCTAGGCACAAGGGGCACAAGGGAATTTGGGGTGTTTTATTTAGAAGATCCTTTCTCCTCTTCACTCTTTCTATGCACGCCAATCATACTAAGAGTTTGCTTTGTCTTTAAGTGGTGGATTGCAGAAACCTGTTGTGGAGAGTACAAGCTTGGGTTCTCTGGGTACCCCTCACCTGCAGGCGAATCAGCAGAGGCACTTAAACAGACTATGGTCTAGGCTGTTTATTAAGAATATTTGTACTGAGAATGTTCTTGTGAAACAGTATTTCCCTTCAGAGGAGAAACAGGTTTATTCGTTTTCCAGTTAAACAGTATTTCCCTCTGGAACAGAAGCTTGGCATGTTTGCTTGTATCTCATTATAAAAGATGGGGGTTTCCTTAACTTGGCATTCTTCAGCTGTGACACAAACTCACTGAGTATGTAGCATCAATCTGGGTCAATCTGTGTCACCCCCATGGGACGTGGGAGCCCGGGGAACTGACATGAACTTGAAGCTCATTGGCTTGTTTTGGTAACAAACCACTTGGTATCTGACCCAGGAATCTCAAATCCTCTACAGGCTCTGACACTTCTCTTGACTCTTTGGGCCTTTATACAGATTCCTTTCAGTGGACACCTGAGCCAGTCTGTGCAGAGGGTGGTGCGTGCTGGGTACAATGCTGGGCTTACCATGCGAGTTACAGGTAAAATGCTCTTCTGTGGTCTTTGAGTTACTGCCTAATCCTATCTGGGAAACGTCTATGCCACTCTGCATAACAAATTGAGATTAACTGCCTTCAAGGCTGCATTCAAACAGATGTCAACACTTCAGAATGTCTGAGACACAACAATGTTTTCAAGTTTTTAAAGTGACCTAATGTTCCTCCTCATTTTTCAGTAAGATTCATATCATTGTAACCTAAGTATAGAAATAGCAAAATGCAGATTTAGGTTAAAAAAAAAAAAAGTCATTCTCGACACTTACTTTGGCCAACTCATTATGAGGTTCCACCTGTAGTATTTTACGCAAATCTTCTAAAGCTTCCTGAGGTTTATTCTGATGTTTGTATGTAGTGGCACGGCGCAGAAGAGCTGAAAATTTACCAAAATAAAAGCGTTATTCTTAGGGGCCATCCCTGGTGGTGCAATGGGTTAAAATGTAGTACAACGAATCTCACAGCAGCCACATTAGCAAGAGTTCATTCCTAGGCCAGGGAGCTGACCCACATGGCGTGGCAGACCTATCCTGTCTCACCCTCTGCTCCCATCAGCAGTATATTTTGGTCAGTCAGCCAAATGCTGACCAAATTCGCCGCTCTGTTGCTGGCGAATCTTCTCATTGCCCCTGTACCTCTGACCTGTTCCCCAGTTCTGGATACATAAATAAATAAAATCTTTTTTTAAAAAGCGTTATTCTTAGACATTGAGCATTATATTTATAACATATTTTTCAGTGGAAGAACATAAATAGGACAGGACAGTTTAGGGTGCAAAAAAAAAAGATACAAAGCTTATTAACTACATCCATTTTTCTGCAACTGGACATATAGAAAATGACACCACGGCACAGAGAAGAGTTTGCATCATACAATTGTCCACTCCAACAAGCAGGCTTTCTGACAACCCAGGCCCCAAGTGGTCCCAAGATATGAGACAACACACCTCAACCCTTCGGATGTACCACATTGTACAGATGTGCCACAATATTGGGCAGTTTGTACTAAACAAGGACGTTTTCCAACTTGTATTCTAATATTATTTCATTGTTTTATGAAAACTTAGAAACCTTTTAGTTAAATTTAGCCCAGAACAAGTGTATTTAGTGCTACTGAAATAACAAAGAGGTAAATTTTATGTTACATGTATCTTACCAAATTTTAAAAATTTAAAGAAAAACCTGTACTGTTCAAATGAAGCTTTGAGGTATTGCTTCTAAAATGCATATATGCATTTTTAGTCAATATTCTGAAAACTACTTCAGTGAAAATAATCAAGGACTTGTAGTTCAAGTTAAAATTTAAAGTAAGTTATACAGAGATAACACATTACTCACATAGAAATTCACTATCTGAAATAGTTTTATTATAGATATAATGAGCTTCTACAAGTGATCTTTATAGATCCTACTGTCAATCTTCAAGCACACTGTGAATACTTTTTACCCTTTAAGTTTCCAGGTTCCAGCTCTAAGACCTTTTCACAATCTTGAAAAGCACTGTTCCAGTTCTGTAGTTTGAGTTCTGCTTGAGCACGATTATTATAAGCCACTGCAGTGGGAAGCACTGAGATGCTTCTAGAAAAGAAACACTTATTGGCAATAAGCAGACCAGAGGTAACCATTAGAAGACAGAGAGACTCAGCTAAAGCTGCAAAGAGAACAATTATAGCCTGTGTTTTGGGAAGAATTTTGTGACCACCCCAATATCCACATGTGGATGTCCTAATTTTCAGAATATAACAAATGTTTAGAGATAGAATCTTTCAAGATGTGATTAAGTTAAAATGAGATCATCAAAATAATCAAATATGATAGGTGTCCTTACAAAACGAAGACACTGAAACACAGACACACGGGATAGACCATGTGAAGACCCAGGGAGAAGACAGCCTTCTATAAGGCAAGGAGAAAGACCTCAAAAGAAACCGAACTTGATCTCCAGAAAATAAAGTTCTGCTGTACTGTTAGTACAGCCCTAGCAAACTAATAAAGTTTTGATAAGTAAAATAAGAAAAAGAATCAGGGAGCCATGCCAAGCCTGTGTAACAATCAGAATCAGAAGGCTGCTGAGAGTCTGGCCCCAGGCATGTCCAGCCTTTCCCCATGTTGGGCTATGGGCAGACAAGTCCACAGCAGAGATGAAGAAACTATTCAGGCAAGCCTTGTCCAGCATGGAAATTTAACCAATCCAAACTGCAATGGCTTTGAGACACTTTGACCAATCCAAACTGCAATGGCTTTGAGACACTTTGACCAATCCAAACTGCAATGGCTGAAAACCTTACTTGGATAGAGGGGACCTAGTCCCACCCCTTGTGCCTACACCAGAATGCTTCACACAGAGCTTCTTGGGCATTCAGCTTAAGTGTTCTGTAGATCTATAGAGTCCTCTCCCCTGCCCCAAATGCAATCCTACAGCCTCTCAACCTTTGCTGTTAAGAGCTATACCACTCTGCTGTGACATTCAAGCTGTGACAACTGTAATCAGTTGCTGTAAGTTGACCAAAAATCTGTTATTTCAATCAATCTGCATCATCAAAATACAATTCTATAAACACACTCAATCATTATTGAGACAGATGTTTTACTATCCAGTTAAAAGGTTTAAAGTTGACTCGGGCTTTAGATGTGATATGAGGATTCAAATACCCACAGATCTTAAAAAAACTGTTTAGTTAATATCAAGTATCAAGCACATTTTTCACACTTTGGATATAATTTCCTAGTTCAAAAAAAAAAAACAAAACTATGAGCAATCAATCATAACTAGTATTCTTTTTTTATACAGTCTTACTGTTTTAATACATAAAATAGTTTATTTCAAGTAGATTTAACTTTGAGGGGAAGAAAGTGAGATGTAGCTGACACCTGAAAGATGAGTTAGAATTAACTAGATAATGAGAAGAAGAGTATCACAGAGACCTAGAATGCAAAGACCCGTCCTAGGAGTATGTCACGTAAATGCAAGGACTACATCCAGGCAGTTCAACTATATAGAACCCAGTTTCTAATCTCAATACCATATGAACTTTGTGATCCATTCAGGAGGCTTTCATTTTCCCTATAAAAATAGGTAAATTAGGAAATGGGGATCAGGTGAGAGGTTGGATGTTTGAGAAAAGTATTGAAAAAACAACGTAAATAAAAGTGAATACACAATAAATCGTAAGTACAATGTCTTGAGTGATTCTGAGTGTTTGTGTCGAGTGACAAATGCCATTTAGACTTATTCTATCATTTCAACAATCACATTGGAACATTATCCATGTTAAATAAGAAATTTAAAACACAACAAAAGTCTGATCACCTTGTATAATACATCACAGCCTCTTCAAAATCTCCTGAGTTGAAAGCTTCATTTCCTTTTTCTTTTTCACGAATAGCAAGAGAAGTGATTTCTAACTCAGTTAAACCTGAAATAAATGTCATCTGCTATAAGTAAAAATATACTTGCAAATACTTTCTAAAAAGTTTGGATACAAAAATGCTCATTTTGACAGAAACAGGAAATTGTAAAATAAAAGAAAATGAAAACTTTCCTAAGCTTAGGATACTTCTTCTCCTTAGTCATTTGCAATTTTTGAGGGTTTAGATTTTTTATGATTGCTTTTGTTTCATTTAGATGGTTCTATGCAACACTGACTTCAAATAAGAACTGTTCCATCTTTTTCTTTTGAGACAAAGGGGGAAAATTTGAGGAAAAAAATTTGGAGGTTTCAGAAAAAACAAATGTTAAACAAATTAATCATAATAAAAAATACATTTATATTTTTACATGTTACCAAGTTTAATTATAAGCATTACTCATGTAAAATTAAAGTTAATAAATAGTATGTTAAATAATATGATTATGTTATTAATCATATTATTATTATATTACTATAAGTGTGCAATTTTCTAGCAGGTAATCTGTATATTTTTAATAGTAATCTGAAACATTGGTAAGAGAATGTCTTCACAATGACAGCTTTTATTATATTCTAAACTTTTTATATACTTTTAACTAAGAGATATAAATACTACTGCATATGCTTATTTTTCTCCAATTACCTGCTATATCTATTCTTGTCTCAATCTTAGACAAATGTGACTTGTTGTTTACCACAGTCTTTTCTTTGTAATCATCATCAATTTTTGAACATTCCTTTTCCACATCAAATCTTAAATGAAAGAACAATAAAAATTGAAAAAAGTATAATATGAGCAAAGAAATAAAATTTATTTTTGATATTTTTGCACTTATATCATTGCACTTTTAAATACATGTTCCAAAAAAATATTACAAGTCATCTGTATTCTCTTTGAAAACAAGCAAATTAGTGGGGACTTAAATATCAACCAGACATAAACTGTTCAGAAACTTGTAATTAAAATTGTGACCAATTTCTATCAATTTAAAACTTTCACTCTTTTTTATGGATAGGCATAAGGATTACATTAATTCTTTATAGTAACTCTTATAAGCCAAAGGAGGCAGCAGTTCTTTATTAAATGAAAAAGGGATTAAAAGTAGTCCAACCAGACACTACTAGTAATCTGTTGACGTAATCTTGCATCTTTAACGTTTATAATAAGAAACTATAATGTTTTATCGTAGAAAATATTTCAGTGACAAATTTAATGTAAAGATATATAAAACATACTTATCCCACTCTGCATAATCCCTTGGCATTTTCTTTTTAGCTGGTCTATTTTTAGAATTTTTTTCCTGAAAGAATAAATCATATTTTATATGACACATATTTAATCTCATCTACTAAAATCTTACGGAGCTCATCAGAAAAGTCTTTAACCACAAACCATATAAAAGTATGAAACAGACTAAATTGCACTCTAAAGTTCTTATTTTCTCTGTCAAAACAACAGTCAGTGGGTTTCCTAGAAATGACAGGTTCAATTCATTCATTTTCAATCCAATGTTGAACTAAAGCC